TGATAAAGTTCCCTGTTTCACACAGTTATGAAATTCTCTGTCCCAATGCCAACAAAAACGTTAGGTGTGTGTGTGGGATACCCAAGAAACCTCAGAGGCAGGAAATATAAGTGGTACTTATATGTACCACAGGTAACAAAAGGAATATAAGACATTATTTTGACCTCTATTTCTGTAACTAGCTACCACTCCATTTATTTGTTTCCCTGTGCAGCAAAAATATATATATATATATCTCCTATTCCTCATTTCCCATTCACTCAGAGCTGCTCTAATTCAGGCTTTTGCCGACAGTCCTTCACTAAATCTACCCCTTCTAAGGCCATTATTGACCTCCACATTGCCAAATCCAGTGGTCAACTTCCAGTCTTATTTGTACCTGACATAGCAGCCTATGACACATCCCCTGTTGCACATCACTTGCCTCCCACAATCTCTTGTTTTTCTCATTCTCACTTTCTTTGTTGGTTCTTCTTCGTGTGCTCCCAATTTTAGAGGTTCCTTTTTCTGTTTTGTTTGCACACTTTCTTGGTGATCTCACCTAGTTTTATGGATTTAAATGCCATCTATATGTTAATAATTCCTACATTTATATTTCTAGGCCAAGCCTTACTTCCAAACTCCAGACTGAAATCTCCAACTTCCTATTCAACGTCATACTTGGACAGCTAACAGGCATCTCAAATTCAACATGTCACACTTCTGATCCTCAACTCCTTCCCCATCTAACCTACTCTCCCTATAGCCTTTGTCATTTCCTTTCCTTGCAACTCCATCCTCTTAGTTGCCCAGGTCAAAAACCTTGGGGTTATCTTTGATTCACCTCTCTCTTTCTTTCATACCTCACATCCATATCTCACACTGTGTTTTTTTAGCTCAAATTAGGAACTCTGTTTGGTATGGATTAACACCCCTCTCAGGACAGTTCTGGTACCATAGTGCATAAGGCACTTGACTGCTAACCAGAAGGTTAGCAGTTCAAACCCACCAGCCACTCCTCGGAAGAAAGGTTGGGCAATCTAATTCTGTAGTGATACTGCCTCGGAACCCAAGGAGTCTCTGTGAGTCAGGTCTGACTCTATGGCACATAACAACAACAACAACAACAACAGGACAGTTAATCTGAGGTGAAAGACATCCAATTTGTATGAGAATGGTAGAAACTAAAATAAGGGCATACCAGTCCTAATTCCTCACACACAAAAAGGAACTGAGGAAAACACACACACACACACACACACACACACATCTGATAAACATATCTAACAAATTGTTGTTATAGCCCAAACAAAGTGGACTATAAGAATCTCACACCTACTCTCAGATCTCATCATGGTAAATGCAGCGTGTTGCAAGACTCCTTAAAGGCAGCAATATTTTCTTTTCTGGAGTCCCTGGAGGCAAATAGTTAGCATGCCCAGCTGCTCACCAAAAGGTTGGGAGGTTCAAATCTAACCAGAGTTGCCTTGAAAGAAAGACCTGTAGGTCTATTTCCAGAAAATCAGTCATTGAAAATCTTCTGGAGCACAATTCTACTCTGACACAAATAGGGTCACCAAGAATCCAAACCAACTTGATGACAACTTTTTTTTTTTCTTTTTTAAATGTTCTTTTCCAGTCTACAAACTTCTGTCCCAGGGCATTTTTCTCAATGATTGACCCCTTTCTGGACATATATAAATGCTAACTGAATAAATGAATTTTCAGTTTCTAAAATAACGAGCTAATGTGACAACCACCACTTCAAGGGCCAAATGTGGATCAGAGAAATAGGCAGCATCATTCAACAGTTACCCCCACATGGCCACTCTGTGATACTGAAGAACCAGAAACTGCTTTCAACACGATAGACTGAAAAAGAAAGCCCAGAACAATATCTACTTTTCTGAAAACTCCAATGCCTCTGAAATGTGACATTTTGCTGTTGTTTCCTTTTACTGTTTTTAATTACTGTGTCTATTTGCATGGAATGAGGATCTGGGTTGCCTAGGAGTTCATCTGCTCCTATTGCATATTCCTCTCTTAAATAAGCATCCTTCTTCAGCACATAGTTTTGCTTGTTGCCTCCCATTTTGACAGTACCTCCTCTTTCTCTCCTTACTGTGTCATCCTATCCCTCTATGGCATAGAAGGTTATTTTTAAAGTCCATAATCAATAGACTTTGAGGAACAGCCAAAACATGAGGGGGTCATATGATCAGGAATATGCAATAGGGATTGCTGAGAGAAGGGATGGCAACAGGCCATTCCAAAAATTGTCTCAGGAGGGAAGGACAGTCTGTAGCTACCATTTAAAGAGTTTTGAGACTTCCTTTGCACAGGCTTCAATCCTGGAGAGATTTCTTAGCTTGTTTTCATACCATTACTTTGAGATGAAGGGGATGTAGACCAGTCTTGACAGTTACTTTTCAAGCCAAATAATTTTCTGTTAAATCAAACTTGGTTTGAGGATCTTGGCAAATCTTTAATCTCTTAATCATAACTCAGTTGCTTTGTCCTTGAGGCTGATGATACCTTTGCTGAGGATCTGAATAAAAACACCAGCACAAATATTTTTTACAATAGCAACAAAAATGACTCTTCCATCATCTGACTCAACTGGTCAAAATCCTCAAGCCTCACAACTGTCAGACAAAGGTATGTTGTTGAGCAAAGAAGGCACTTGAGAAGAATGTGGAGATTTTTATGCACAGACCAGCATCCCAAATAGAAAGACAATTCAAAAAGGGAAGAGGCTATACCTGCAAAACCCTACCTTACATCACTTAGAACATATAGCTCTCTTTTAGCTCTCCACTTGCAACCAGAGATGTCTCCTCTTACGGGTTTTTAGATTTTATTTTAATGATTGTTTATAACTGTCCTTCCTGTTCTAGAGAAACATGATCCATGACTCCAGCCCTGTATTTTCTTTCTCCTGGTTATTAAAAAAAAAATTGATTTGTTGTTCTTTTGACTTGGGATATTTTATTCTGCTATTTTTATTTAATATATAATCCTTCTTGAAGATTTGCTTTTATTTTTGTTCATTTAGTAGTATTTTTTCCCATTTCATTTAATTAACTTTACATAATCATAGTCTAGTGAGTTGATCATTACAAATCAGTATAATATATTTTCCAAATTTTTAAAAACTTCCTCTGGCCATGCATGTTGTGGAATAGACTGGGTGTTGGCATTTGCTATTTGTTCTCAGCTGTTTCTTTATTGTACACACTGATATCCTCCTCCAAGGCTAATCTTATGTCATTAAAATGCCTTCCTAGGGAATTCTTTGAAGAAACTTGGTGGAGGCATTAATTGCAAATAAAAGACCATGACCTATTGTTGAATATGGAATTTCTTCTTAGAAGTGCCTGCTTTCATTATTGAAAACTCTCAGTAGTGACATAAAGATCTTTGTCCTGTGCAGATGCAGTTACAACCAGCAACAGAAGGCATATGTCCACTCTAAACAAAAGAACATTTATTTTCACATTATGTGGCTGAGGTCGAGTGATAACATTTTTGCATATCCTAAAACTTTTTATGCAGATGTTGCTTAAAGGCAAAATATGCTTTTTATAATAATGTTCTTTGTGAATAGAATTTAAACTCTTGGCATGTGTTGTCTTTTCAAAATGCCTGTCAAATTCTGAATAATAACCTTTGACAGTGTGTGAGCAGAAACAAAACCAGAGGCAATTTCCGCTGTTCACAGCAGCAATGTTAGCTCTGCCCTCCCTTTTTAATTTATACTTATTCACTTTAAAAAATATATAATAAAATTAATATGTATAAACAACTTAGTACACTATGGCTTTTAAGTCATAGTGTAATTTTCACCATAGGGGCTATAGTGATGCAGGAGTAGAATGTTCACATTCCACGAGGGAGACCAGGGTTTGTTTTCGGCCAATGCATTTCATGCACAGCCCCCACTCCTCTGTCAGTGGAGACCAATGTATTGCTATGATGCTGAACAGGTTTCAGCAGAACTTCCAGACTAAGATGGACTAGGAAGAAAGGCCTGGCAATCTACTTCCAAAAATCAGCCAAAGAAAACCTTATGGATTTCAATGTTCTGTTCCTCAGCTGATCATAGGGATGGCACAGAACTTAACAGCATTTCAAGCTGTCATGCACAGGGTCACCATGAGTTGGGGGCCTAGTCTATATCAGTTAACAACAGCAACAATTTTCACCATGGTGAGTTGCTGAGCTCTTATTTCTGGGTGACTGACTAAACCAATGAAGGCATGATAGTTGACAAGGGAAAAATAAATCAGCCAATTAATATATTTTTCTCATATTACTGTACAATTAAAAAATTATAAAACTTTTTTATGTCTTTACAAAAATGGAACAAAACTAATGACAAGATGCTGTACAAGTTATGGGGTAAAGAATAAACAGAAGACATACTATTAGTCTTGGAAATAATAGTGAAATCGTCTGTCTTGGCATTGTCAAGGCAAATCATATATTGAGAAATTTAGAGTTTATCAATATAATATGTATAGAAATAACTGAAATAGAAATAATTGGTCTGTAAGCATTTTTTTTTGAAAGACTCTAACACTGGACAACTATGAGAATAATTGTCTATTTTAAACTAGTTAATTTGGTTATAATAACCAAATTGGCCTGTGGTTGTGGAGATAGCTTTACTGACAACTCAATTTATCATAGAATGAAATGACCAAGCGTACTCCAAGTCTGTTTATTGTAATATAGTTTTATTTTGGTTGAAGTTAATTTGAATTGTGCTGACAGGCTCATAACTGCTATGTTTTACAAATTTGTGAAGGCAGCGAAGCAGAGAAACCTGAACATAACCTCGTGTAAGATACTGTAATGGTATATTGTTATGAAATAATACATATTTTGATAAGTTTATTGAAAACCATTTTTATTTACTGCACAGCAAACATTGTGATAAGATTAATAAACATATAAACAAGGGACTGACAACTGTGTTAGCAATTAAATAATTGCTATATTTGTTTTTTCTTCCACAGTACAAATTCAAGTGGAGGAAGAAGAAGATGATACTGAGGACAGCTCAAGTAAGTGGGGATGGGCCTATGGGGCACAGTTCTGTAGATATATTTCCAGTGGAACTGTATCAGATTACCCAATAAGAAGGCAAGCATGGGTTTACTTGTGCTTACTTTCTAATCTGTAGTGAACAATGTCACAGTTTTTCACCACTGCAAGAACTCTGCTTCTAGGTGTGGCTGGCGTCTATCTTGCTCCCACTCCACAGCCCTTTCCTACAGAGTCAAAGCCTCTTGAATTTACAATCCCTGACAGGGGTAGAGTGTCCACAGCTAGAGCTTACTTGTGCTTATTTATTACCTGTAGTGGACAATTTCACATAAGTTTCACTACGTGTTGTGAAAAACATGTGAAACTGAGATATGGTGAAGGCCCTGTGAAATTATTCACTACATATTAGTAAGGAAACACAAGTAAGCCCATGATTCCCTTGTTTATTGCTATAGAATAGAAGTGAACTCGGTGGATTCATCTTTTTATTTTGTGGGATGTGTGTGGATGGTATTTGATGGTTTCAGAAAAGAGATTAAGTCCAGTGAATTGAATCTCCACTCCAGGTTCCATTCAGTCAGCACACACATATACCAACTGTCATGATTGAATTGAGTCCCCTCAAAATTTGTGTCAACTTGGTTGACATGATTCTCAGTGGTTTCGAAGTCATGTAATGATGTAATGTGGCAGATACTAAATGATACCCCGTGATGTGGCCGTATGTGATAAGCTGATCAGATGTAAAAGAATTAAGATTAAGGGTGGGTTGCAACATTATTAGTGGTATCACAGCCCTGATGTGATATAAAGGGAACTTGTCTGGAGTGTGGCCTGTAAATACCTTTTAGTTTACAAGAGATAAAAGGAGAGAGAAGGGAGCAGAGAAGGGTGACCTACTACCACCAAGAAAGAGGAGATAGGAGTGGAGTGCATCCCTTCGACTCAGGGTCACTGTTCTGGGATCCTCCTGGGAACAAGAGACAGAGAGAAAGTCTTCCCTTAGAGCTGGACTCAGAGTTCTAGTCTCCTAGACTGTAGGACAATAAATTTCTGGTTGTTAAAGCCATCCACTTGTGGTATTTCTGCTATAGCAGCACTAGAGAACTAAAGCATGACCCAACTCATAAATTGCCCACAATTACATAGATGATAGCCAGAAAATTTTGCTTTTAAAATTCAATCCTGTAAAAAGCTTTGGTCCTAAAATCTTTTCTGGAAGGCTGAATCGCTGTTTCAACTGAACTGATCAGGTAGTCCAGTTAAAATAAGTGAACTAATTCTTTTGTACTGAATTCATGGGTATTTTGACCAAATTGCTCTCTTGTTTTTACTTTGTGTAGGCTCAGCTCAAGGAGCACTGGTGTTACAGTGGTTAAAGCACTGGCCATTAACTAAAAGGTCTGCAGTTAAACCTACCAGCTGCTCTGCTGAAGAAGGACATGGCAGTCTGCTTCTGTAAAGATTCCAGCTTTAAAAACCCTATGGGACAGTTACACTTTGTCTTAGAGGGTCTCTATGAGTTGGAGTCGACTCCATGGCGATGGCTTTAGTTTGGTTTTGGTTAGGCTCAGCTCAAGAGCCTGAATTGTGACCCTTCTTGCAGGTGCCCCGCCCACTCTTGGACTGGAATATGTGAAAGATCATTATGTGAGCAAAAACTCTGATTTAACCAAAACTGAAAGAAAGGGTAGCATCTAAAGAAAAGTTCAATTAGAGGGTACATTGAGACTACCGATTTAATATCCTAAGCAGAATTTTACAGCCAATGACGTTAACTATGCCATTTGCTTTCATTATTTATTCCCTAAATAAACCAACCCAGAGTTTCACACAAATGCTTAATTCAAAGATTGAATTAAGCCAATTCCAAAAAGTAGTTTTGTATGCAGGTCTGCATTTAGTAGTCAATCATAAAATGTTCATTTTTAAGAAGTTGCGTATATGGAAACTAGTTAAATTATGGTAAACTCAGTATCATCACTGGGGGGGGGATGGGGCATGCAGACCACACTGGGTGACAGTGTCAGAGGGAGTGACACCAAAATGACTGGCTTTAAAATATTTGTGCAGGGTTTCAGCAGAAATTTATTACTTTTTATAAAAATATTCCTACTGTTAGTTTTAACAACAAAAACATTTTTTTGTAAGCCCAGCTTAGATGTATACCTATAAGGCTAAAATTATGCTAATTTACTTTTTGAAACTTCTAATGCATTCTGGTCAGAGCTGTCATTATTACCCAATTGTAATGACTTTGAATCACGTGGTTCCATTTGCATGTGTTACAAGCACACGCTGTTGTTTTTGTTGTTGCTGTTGTTTTTGTTGTTGCCGGTGTTTTTATAGTCACTGATTCTGTCAAATTTTCTGGTGTTGCAGCTATAATATTATAATTCATTAGTATTTGTGAACTATAGCAATAACTTTTTTTGAGAATGAAGCAGTAATTCAAAGAAAAGAAGGATAAAAATCAAAACAGGCTAATGCTTAGTTACTAATAATGCTATCACAAATAATGTAATTTAATGTAGAAAGATTTTACAAAGCAATTTTGTTGCTAGTATTCATATAATTTAAGAAATGTTACACTTAAACAATTTACAACTATATTTATCACATACTATTCTATGATTAAAATTGGTAGTAAACATTGCTAAGGATTTCATATGGTCTGGTAAGGGAAGAGGTCTATTGTGGCAGTGGTGGGGAGGGACACCATGAATTGGAACTGGGTGATACCAACCTTAGTGATGCCACTGGGACAACTGCCTTTTTGTTTCTAAATGGCAATAAAAAACAAACAAACAAACAAACAAAAATCCCACCAAACTCACTGCCATAGTGTCGATTTTGACTAATAGATAAATTTAATGGTACACATTTCAACCACAATGGGGGGTGTGGCTTGTGCCATCAAGTCAATTTTGATTCGTGAAAGACTAGATGTGAAAGAGGAGAACTGTCAAGGGTTTTCTTGGTTGTAATCTTTACGGAAACAGATCACTAAGTCTTTCTCCAAAGGAGCTGCCGAGTGGGTTCTAAATGCCAACCATTCAGTCAGCGGCTGAGTGCTTAACCATTTATGCTGCCAAGAAGGGCTCAGTTCAACCTTGGTCAAACTAGACAAAGAAAACTATGAGAACATTTAACAGTTTAGTCCCAATATAAAAAGTAAGAGTCCCTGGTGGCACAAATGGTTACAACTTGACAGGTAGCCAAAAGGACGGAGTCTTGAATCCACATGGAGACACTTCAAAAGACAGACCTGGAAATCTGTTTTCAAAAGCTCACAGCCTTAAAAACCCTATGGAGCAGGTCTACTCTGCACACATGGGGTTGTCATGTGTCAGAATCAACTCAACAACAACAATACAAAAAAGTACTGCAATGCAGAATCTAAGTGGCTACTTGGAGTCCCTGGGTGGTACAAACTGGTAATGCATTCCACTGCTAACCGAAAGGTTGGAGGTCCAGTTCACCCCGAGATACCTCAGAAGAAAGACCTGGTCATCTGCTTCTGAAAAGCCAGCCATTGAAAACTCTGTGGAGCACAGTCCTCTTTTGAGACACCTGGAGTTGCTGTGAGTCTGAACTGACTCATCGGCAACTAGTGTGTTAAAGTGGCTGCTTGAGTTCCTGAGTTACATGTGGGTGAAACTGTTTCTCAACTCTTGTCAAACTGTTGTCATTTTCATTAGTAATGGTTAATGTGGCTAATAAAGGTTGGATCAATGTTCAGAATGCCAGAATTGGGTTCAAATAACATAAAACATTTGACACAATATGTACACATAAAATTTGTTCTTGGTTTTGATGAGAGAATTTTGTTTTCAAAACTCAGAAAAGTTATCCTACTGGTTTTTCCTCTATCTCAAATTAGTGAAATATGTAATATTTAGATGTGAGATCTAAAATATCAATACAAGCATTTCAATAAGTAGTGTTAAAAGACAATTCTAGAAAAGGTGAGATCATGACATTCATACATATGTCAGACATAATCATGTTTAACTCATCAATGAAGAAACTGGTGAGGTGT